TATAGAAATTCTTAAATTTATTGTAGGATTTTAAAATTTTTAAAAGTAAAAAAATTTAAAATTACAATTATATTAAATAGAGTGTTACTTGTTGAAGGTCCTAAATTTTGTTACAATTTTTATATTTTTGTAAAATCAGGAATTTAACCGGTTCAACTAATTGAATTAGAATTAGTAGCCAAAATAGGTGTGTCCACGGGCAGGGATGGAGGTAGTGTAGGACAATAGGGGGCAGCTGCCCCCCTAATGAAAAGTATAAAACATGGTACGTCAATTTTTATCTTCTACAAAATTTTATATTGAAGTTAATTTGAATTAGAGGGACCGTTCAAATATAAAAAAATGTGTAGGACCTAATAGTAAAGGAATCATTTCTCTCTTTGTGACTAATTTTTATAAAGACATGATAATTTTATTTAGGTAAGAACAAATATAGAAAATAGTTAAGATTTAATTATATTAAGATAAATTTATGCAAGTCTTTCCATTAATTATATATGTTTTTTTTGCGAGTTATATTCTATTAAACCAAAGTTGATTTAATATATATAACCTTACTCAAAAAAATTATATTTTATACTATTTATTTAATGATTTTAAAGGAAAATGATTAGTATATCTTTTGGTTCAATACACCTAATAACACCTACTAGTTTAGTCATTAAAATTTGTCTTTAAAATTTTCTCATCTTGAATTCAAATTTAAAAATATTAATTTTTTAATAAATAAACTAGTGGGTATTATTAAATATATTGAATCAGAAGTTATATCAATCATTGTTCCAATCTTAAATTCTATGCTATTCAAATATAGTGTTAATATAAAATTTATTATGGATGATAAAAGTGACGTGCATAAAAATAATAACTGATTTTAAAATAATATAAATTATGCTAATATAAATTGTTAAGGTGTCATTTTTATAAATTACTATAAAATATTAATTACTTATAACAAATTTATATTTTTATAAAAATTGTTGTAAAAAAATTTATATAAAGTATAGTAAAATAAAACTTAAATAACCCAAAAAATTTTAAAATTATTGCCTCCAACGAAAATTTCTGACTCCGTCAGCTTCGATATTAAAAGCGTTGCCCACGGTTGCTACAGTTAACATGAAAGAAAAAAAAGGATTAAATTTTTAATTTGGTCCCTAAATTATTGTACAGACTTCGATCCTTAAACTAAAAAATTCATGATTTGGTCCCTAACTTATTGTATGGACCCCAATTCAGTCCTTAAATTATTGTACAGACCCCAATTTAGTCCTTAAATTATTGTACAGACCCCCAATTTAGTTCTACTGTTTACCAATTTACCTCAAGTTGATCGTTCCGTACAAAAACTAACTAACATGTTTTGTTATTAATGTGACAAGTGATCATTAAATTATTATTTTTCATCGTTAAGTTACTATTTATTGTCATTAAGTAATGGATACGTCAACTATTTTTTGTATGGAATGATTAATTTAGGACAAATTGGTAAATAGTAGGGACCAAATTGAGGTTCGTATAATAATTCAGAGATCAAATCAGAGATTTTTTTAGTTTAGAGATCAAATCTGAGATCTGTATAGTAGTTCAGGGATCAAATTGGGGGTTTAACAAAAAAAGAAAACACTAATTCAAATGGAAATGGCAAAACTAGACCTGACAAAGGGCGGGTTGGGTCGGATTTGGGTTTTGTTAACTTGGATGACGGGTTATACAGGTTGGGTTATGAACAAATTGCGAGTTGAAAAAGTTCAAACCTAAGTCAATCTTAACAGGTTACGGGTTAATCAGCGAGTTAACCTTATTTTCATTCTTTATAATTATTTTTTATTAATTTTATTATATACAAATAAAATTATATATATCTAAATCTAATTAAAGTATTACGATTTATTAAAATTAAGTACTTTATAATCTCAATCACAAACAATTAAATTAAGAAAAAAATCATAAAGTCATAAATAATAATAAGTTGATTAACAATAACAATATTAAACGTAAAATATTTAAATTTTTTGAAAAATAAAGTTTTAATTTTATAATTATCTTGAAACATTATCAAGTAGTTTAAGCCATTTTTTTAATGATGAAATTGCTCTTCCAAGAACATCTTTTACTAAGTTATTATGTTTATGTCCTACCATCACATCTTTTAATATTTTTAGTTGTATTATTATTTCATTCATGATACTTAGATAATTGTTAATACAAAAAAAAATGATACTTGGACAATTAGATCAAACTCATCATAATTTCTTCATCTTTCTCTAGAAATTAAGGAGTATAAATTAATGGAAGGAATTAACAACAAAAAAATTAATTAATAATAATAAGTATAATATTTAAAAATAATAATAAAAAATAAAATAAACAGATCAACTCATCAACTTGTGGGTTGATCCTAATTCGATCTATAACCGTACGGTTGATAATACAAATTGTCTACGAATTACGAGTTAAAATATGTAAATTTTAACCTATTTTTACACGTCGAGTTAGGGTCGGATTCAGGGTACATTGTATTTTCGCCAAGTCTAAGCAAAACGCAGGCGCTTAATTTGTGGCCATTCACTTGTTTTTAATCTATGTCCTGCCCTCCCATTTGCGAGTGGATCCACACGTCTATATATTATTTTTTAATGAGATGCACACGTCAAATTTTAACCAAACTAAGTTGGATTGGATCATGTGACTCATGTAGATAGGCTCTTGGATAGATGCATCCGAGGAGCAATTTGAATTTTTTTATTATTTCAGTAGATGAGGGTTGTGTTAGATGGTCGGCTAAGTTTATTGCTATTAATTTTAATTGAAATTTTATTAGTTTATAATTTTTTAAATATAATATTTAAAAATATTTATTTATAAATTAATTTTAGTTTATTAAATAATAAATATTAATTTTATATTAATTATTAATTATTTTTAATAAATTAAATAAAAACAAAATTTTAATATTTTTAATTGATTTAATAAATTTAATGATAGTCATAACTAAAGTTTAGGTGGTCCATTTGTCAATAAATTATATGTTTTTTTTTTGGTCTTTTAGCGAAATGGCCTAGGCTGATTTGAGGAGAAAAAGGGGAGGAACGGAAATATGTTCAAGGGAAGAAGAAACAGGAATATGGTCAACTTTTTGAATTAAATAAAGATACAAGACAACTGGTTTTCTTGTAAGAAATTCTGGTGTTTATCCTCTCTCTCTCATCACCCAAGAACACACAGAATAAAATTCAGCACTGAATCCATTGCTATTGCGACTTTTTCACATTGATCTCATTCCTGCAGGTGTGGTTTCAATGTCCAAAAGTATCCAAGAAATGTCTATTGATGGTGATGAACCACCATCCCAGTACATGGTACTCAAAGACTCCTTTGGGTCTGTGGACTCTTCTCCAGCAGAAAGCTTATTTCCCATCATTGATATTGGCGTCTTGTCCTCCCCTCCAGCTTCCTGCTCTAAAACAGACATAGATAATGAACTCGAGAAGCTAAGATCAGCTCTCAGCTTTGTGGGTTGCTTCCAGGTATTTATCTTGCTTTCTTCCTATGAATTTTTCAAATTTTCTGCAGAAATTTCTTGATGTAATGTGAGAGCCGATCAAAAAAAAAAAAAAAAATTCTTGATCTGAGATTTGTCTGTGAACTATTAATTGTTATGATTTAGACCTTGTACATTTTAACTTCAAATCCATTACCTCTTAATTATGCCGGTGGGTTAAACCCCTAAATTTACCCCAAATAAGAGGTAGGAATAGATCTGTTTTTTTAAAGAAAATATGAATAAATTGTTCTTTTAAATAGTTGATAAGGAGAAATACTAATTATTTAATATCTAATGTATAAGTCAATTTTTTATTAAAAATAAATTTAAATAGCAAATAAAATTTTAATATATGATGATTATACATTTTAAGTAATAAATAATATATTATAATTAATGATTTAAAAAAATAATTTATCCCTATTTTTTTAAAAAAGTAAATCTATTCTTACCCATATTTAAGGAGCGGATTGAAGGGTTTCGCATAAGCTTGGGTGTGTTTATGCCATAGCGTTTCTTTTTCTTTCACCAATATACTGTGTGCCATAGTTGTGCTCGATGGATTTATTTAGTAAGGATCTATCCACTTGAATTTAAATTTTACTTTTTTTATTACGAGTCGACTTTGTTAGATGTAATATTACTGTTAAAATTTTTATTGAAGAAGTGGTTAGAAAAACTATTAAATACTTTAGTAAATTTTGTAGTTAAATTTTGTCAAAATGGTAAACTTTTACTTAGTTGATAAAAAATGGATGGTGGGAAAGTTAGTCGAAAGATGTTGAAGTCTCACATTCAAAAAGCTAGGCGAGAAAGGGTTTTTTTTTTTTTCCTCATATGCAAGGGGCAGCATATTTATGTACTTTGGGGGGAAATTTTCCTTTTAAAAAGTGAAAAGAAAATAGTAATTATTAGAAATTGTGTTAAAAAACATAAAAATATAAAATATAAATTTTACTCTTCTTTAGTTGTACTCCTTGTATGTTTCATTTTAGTTGTTTCAGTTTTTGATTTAACACATTTATAAACAATCAAGGGATTGGTTAATACTTCATAATTTGGTGTTAAAATAACAAAGTTAACCCTAATAAAAGCTTTATTGTCTTTATAAATAGATTAGAGCAATACTCATAAAATTGAAATAATAACATCTAATAATATCTTATATAGATAAAATGTGAAACAATTAAATTGAAATAGCCGAATTTAGTGAGAAAACTAAATTTATATGAGGGAGTAGTATTGAAATGTGAAAATATGAAAATAAACCAAGTCCAAATAAGGGGAAAAAACTTTCCTCCCAACCAAACACACCCTATAGGTTCATTGATTCTATTAATAATCATGCATCCACTGGTTTTGAATTTTTCAGGTAATTGGCCATGGGATCTCAAACTTGTTGCTTGACAAGATGCGCGATGTTGCAAAGAAATTCTTTGCGCTCCCAATTGAAGAGAAGGAGAAATATGCCCGAGCCGTTAATGAGTCTGAAGGTTATGGAAGTGACAGAATAGTTTCAGAAAAACAAGTTCTTGACTGGTTATATCGCTTAACACTTAAAGTCTTTCCAGAAGATAAAAGAAGGCTAAATCTTTGGCCAAGAGATCCAAATGATTTCAGGTATTTCACATTTCACCTACTGCTACCCTTAACAAATTCCTTCCGCCTAAAAAAACACAGAAATTATCATCATCTCATCTTTAAAAAATGAAAAATAGTTGGTATAAACTCGGTTTATTATACTTTCTGACACTCGTTAAAACATAATGCAAATATAGTCAATTCCATTAATTTTTGCATCTTATATGTATGATTACATTTATGTACCTCTAATTTCAGATAAAAAAAATAATTTTTTAATGAATGTGTTATATAATATATTGAATTAGTGTATGCCTACCAATATTTAAAAAATAATAATAATAAAGTTGAATGACCAACTATCACTTATTTTTTGTCTCAAAAATAGAATTTTTAGTTTGAACTTTTGGTTTAGGATGTTTATATTAGTAGTTGAAATGCAACATATGGTAGATAGTCAATGTTTTACTGTTGATAATTTTTGTTGTTTGTAATTTAAAAATTTTTCTATCCACGTAATTACTCCAACGTTAGACTCAAATCTCTATACAAAACACTAAGATTAGTACAATCAGCTTCAAGAGGGAAAGTATTAACATCATCTGAGCATCCCCTTGATGATATTCTATTAAAAGAAAGTAAGAAAAAGTAAGAAACTGAGTTCCCTCTACGTTTTCTTCCAGGGGCACTTTAGACGAGTTTGCGTCGAAGATAAAGACTGTTAACAACATTCTATTTAAGGCAATGGCGAGGTCACTTGATTTGGAAGAGAATAGCTTTCTAAACCAATTTGGAGACCAAGCAATGATGCAAGCGAGATTTAATTTCTATCCTCCTTGCTCTAGACCTGATCTGGTTTTTGGTGTCAAACCTCACACAGACAGATCAGGACTTACAGTTCTCCTACAAGATGGAGATGTGGAGGGTCTTCAAATTTTAGTAGATAGCAAATGGGTCAGAGTTCCTGCTATTCCTTATGCTCTTGTGGTCAATCTTGGTGATCAGATGCAGGTATTACCCTAGGCTTTACTTGTTATACTTCATTCATACAAACCTTTTTCACACAACAGTTTATTTAAAATTTTAAATTTATAATTCTTAATTAATTTTAATTAATTTTTTAATGTACTTTTAATAATTGTAATTAATATTTTATATATTTTTAAATAGTAAAAGAGGAAAAACCTATAGTTATAGCATAACATAACATAGCAGAATATAAAACTAATAAACAAAGCCTTACTCTATATTCATTGCATTTCATGCTCGCACTTGAGTAGGAAATTAGCAGTCCTTTCTTAACTTTAAATTTTGTACATGATGAATATTTGTAGATAATGACAAACGGAATATTCAAGAGCCCAATGCATAGGGTGATTACAAACTTAGAAAAAATGAGGATTTCTGTGGCATTCTTTAATGAACCAGACCCTGAAAGAGAAATCGGAGCTGTGGATAGCTTGGTGGATGAGCACAGACCAAGGCTATATAGAAATGTGAAGAATTACGGTGCTATCAACTATGAATGTTATCAGAAAGGGATGGTGGCGCTTGATACAGTTAGAATCTAAGTCCTCTTGCCCGTTATTTTTCATTTTGATCGCCTGTAGTTCAATAACAACTTTGTTGCTTCTCCACACTTTTCCAAGATTTGTCTGTCATATGAATCAGTGTTATGTAATGTTACTGCAAATGCTTTGAGTTTAATGATAATTCTCAGAAATAAATCTTACGTATAAATACATGGAAAAATAATAACAATTAATATTCGGTATAAAGATTATTAAGAAAGCCTAAGCAACTACCGAACGCAATCCAATCGTGTCCTGTCAGCCACATCACACTGCCTCTGCTTTCCATTTCTACCTAGGGAAAAACTTGGTGAAAATTAATCAAGAGAACCTACGCAAAATCTTTTAAAATATGGGGGAAAAACTCACAATAGGACAAAGTATTGGGAGAGAACCCCAATTTTGTTCATCCAATCTAATCGTCAAAGAGGTAGAGATGACAACTGGGGTGAGCGACGAAGTAAAATAAGTGACGTTTAAAAGTGTACAATGTCTGTTCTGTTTCAAGATTTTGGGCGTGACATGTGTAATATTTACAGAAAGTGTAACTCAAACTTAAATGAATTGGGAGTCAAAATGTTTGTAATCAACTAGAGTGAAGCATAAAATAAGTTTTTGTTAAAAAATGATTACCTTAGTTTTTTTTTTTTTTTATTAAACCCTTTGGAATTCGAAAGTTACATTTGGTTTTAATTAATCTAAAGTTGATCACATTGAATCTCATAATTTGTTTTTTATTAAACCCTTTGGAATTTGGAAGTTACATTTGGTTTGGTTTTAACTAATCTAAAGTTGATCACACTGAATCTCATATGGGGAACTTTTTCTAGTGTTTATTTTTCTATTTATAAGATTCAAAGTTGAGATCTTATTTAAAAAAAATTAAGTTCATTCCATTCAGACCAATCGATAGTTAGTAATATTTACTTTAGTCAGGTGGACACGAGAATTCAAACCTAATTTATTATCATGACTAGTGTTAAGGAGATAGTGAGCCAAGGATGACCTACCTCCGCTGCTGGAGAAAACTGAAATAAGGTCAACATCATTAATTCGAGAGAATGAGGGAGAGAGAGAGAGGGCGAGAGAGTTTCAGGGTTGCAAGTACCAGACACCGGACTAGGATCAGGCGGACTGTACTAGGCAGAGAGTTCAACCGGCGCAGAGGAAGAAGTCGACAAGGAGGGGTGGACAGGGCAGAATAGAGGGTGTGGTATGGGAAGTAGAGGGAATATATGGAAAGGGAATATGATGTGGGAATGTTCAAGCAAGCAACTGGCTTCTTCTTCACCAACATTCCCAATGGCTGGAGCTACTTTGAAATGTGGGCAGAATTTGCAAAATTTGGCAGAGTATTTGCAATATACAGCCCTCCAAGAAGAAGCAGAAATGGAAGAAGGTTTGGCTTTGTCAGATATCTCAACGTTAAGGATGAGAAGGAACTAGAGAGGAAACTTGATCAGATCCGAATCAGGGGCCACAAGATATGGGTTAACATAGCCAAGTATCCTTCAAAGGAAGTTAAAGAAAGGGAGACAAGGAGAATCGTAACCACAAATATGGTTGCTGCAGGAAAATCATATGCAGATGCAGTAAAAGGGAAGTTGGGAAGGGCTCCACAAAAAGCAGAACATATACAAGCAGAGAAGAGGCCGAAGTTGGACACCCAGATAGCAAAGAGCAGAAGCAACAATATACCCAGCTAGCAAAACAGTAGACAAACGTGGAAACTCAAAAGCAAACAAGAAGAATGGTTAGGAATTGAGTACAACGTCAAAGAAGAAAAATATGAGTGGCTGCATGGATGTTATGTGGGCATTGCTCACTCAGTGGAAATAGTGTCAAACCTTCAAGAAAAGTTTTATATGGAAGGTTATTTCTCTTGCAGACTCCGAGCAATGGGGGGCAAGATGATCTTAATGGAATGCGAGGATAAAGAGGAATTAAAAGAGCTAGTACAGGGTGTTGTAAGCTGGCTGGGTTAGTGGTTCTCAGAAGTTAAACCTTGGACACCTGCAATGGTGGCAAATGAAAGATTTGTCTGGATGAGATGCCTAGGAGCACCAATTCATGCTTGGGGGCCAGATTTCTTTGAGAATATGGCTAATGCATGGGGCAAGTTTATATGTCTAGATGATAGTACAAGCAAGAGAAAGAGATTCGACATAGCCAGATTCCTTATATCGACGTCGATAATGGATTTAATCTCGATTAAGAGGCAGATCAAAGTTAATGGAGTCTTCTACAATCTGAAATTTTTGGAAGAGGAAATGACTAATAGTCTATTCTCATTAAGGTATGATTTTATACCAAATTTTAAGAGCGATTCTTGCTCTAAAGAGTCATGGTCGGAGGACAGTGATGATGATGAGGAGCTGGGAAGTAAATTCAGTGCAGAAGATAACGGAAATATCGACGGAGAAGAAGAAGATGTCAGAGGGGAACAAGAGTTAAATGAGCTAGACAAACAGTCGACCAACACTCCGTCTGACAAAGCAAATTTTGAAATGAAGGGCATGGGTGAGTTTGAAATTGTGGTAGAAAGGTGGCATGAATAAGTGGAGAAGATTTGACAAGATCACATACAGCCAGCTGGGTGAGGAAGAATCAGTGGAAATGGTGGTGGACAGTATGGAGGGGCTTCTAGAAGCAAGTGACATGGGGAGTGGTGAAGAGGTGGGGCTTTGTAAATTGTACTTTAAGAGTAGGACAACAACGGACTCAATAGAGAACACGAAAGAATATGATTTAGGCCAAAGGCTAAAGCCCATATTGAAAGGCTTGGGTCCAATCCATGAAGAACATGAAGAAGGAGACAAGGATATGAGGGCCCCATCGGATTCAAAAAGTAGCACCCAAGTGGGAGAAAAGGGGGACTTGTTGGGAATATCAAGAAATGAGGAAAGAAGGGACCATTAGCAAATTTGCAGTGAGATACAAGCGGAGACACAGAGCGAAGAACCAAGGGTGAATGAGAGGATAAGCACCAGCAGAGATATAGAAAAAAAAAAAAAGAAGAAAAAGGAGAGCTGTGAGCTACAAATCAGTGTACCAAAGAGCAATAATGTTTGGATTAACGAGCCAACGAAGGAAGGGCCGAAGCAAATTTAAGAAGAAGGAAGCAGAGAAAGAAGGGATTTCGAGCTTCCTTCCAAATATGAGTAATTCGGTGGCAGGAGGATCAGTGGGAGACAGTGAAATAGAGAACTGCAAGAGGATGCTGAAGGAGCAAAGTAGCCAGCGGACAATAGCAAAACTATGGGAATTTGCAAAAAAAAATTGGTGTGGATGCAGAGGATGAGGAAGAGGCTGTCAAGATCCTTGAAGAAATGGAGACCCGTGATAGAAAAGAGAAGGCAGAGGGCAGCTCAAAAGAAGAAAGAAAGAATAAGAAGGTTAGTGAAGCTGAACAATGAATAGCTTATCCTTTAATATTAGAGGGATTGGAGGTGCTGGGAAGAAAAGGTATATTAGAGATCTAGTAGTAAAGGAGAAAGTGGATTTTTTAGCAATTCAGGAAATAAAATTAGCAGGAGTAGATAAAAAAGTTTGTAGAGCAGTGTGGGGGTCTGAAGATTTTGAGTGGGTAGCCAAGGATGCTTGTGGAATGTCGGGTGGCATGCTTTGTTTGCGGAACCCCAAAGTGCTTACCATGTCCAGAAGAATAGAGGGAGAAAACTTTATAGGCATAGAAGGAATTTGGGGGAGAGAGGCAACCCCAGTGAGCATAATTAATGTATATTCCCCATGCCAGTTATTGGGGAAACAAACCTTATGGGAGGAATTGAAAAAACTGGTTTCCGGTAGAGGAGGTAATTGGTGTATTGCAGGTGATTTCAATGCAATAAGAAAGACAGAGGAAAGAAAGGGGAGCAGGGGTATAAGCAGTGAGATGAGAGAGTTTGATAGTTTCATAAGAGAAGCAAATTTGATTGATATCCCGTTAGTGGGCAGTATATGAGTAGAATAGATAGATTTCTACTTTCTGAAGGGTAGTTGTCCAAATGGGGTTATACCAGACAATGGGGTTTAAGAAGAACAGTATCAGATCACTGCCCAATCCTACTCAAATTTCAGCAAGTAGATTGGGGTCCTAAACCATTCAGGTTCTTTGATGCTTGGTTAAAGATGGAAGGTTGTAGGGAGCTAATAAAAGAGGTATGGAGCAAAGCAGAAATCGAAGGATGGGCAGGGTACCGTCTCAAAGAAAAGATGAAGTTGACAAAGAAGGCACTAAGGAAATGGAGCAGGGACTCAACCCTGGATATTGAGAGTAAGATAAGCAATGCTGCAGCAGAGATAGACTGGATTGATAGCAAGGGGGAACAAGAGCAATTGACGGAAGAAGAAATCAAGAAAAGAAGAGAGGCCACAATAACCTTATGGGAAAATATGAAGAGAAAGGAAAGTAGGATCCAACAGAAATCAAGGAAGACATGGTTAGCTCACGGAGATGCAAATACAAAGTTCTTCCACAAGTGTGTAAAGGGGAGATGGAGAAGAAATGAGATGAGTAGCATACACATAAATGGAGTCCAATTAAAGGAAGCTAGCAGAATGAAGGATGAGCTCGCTGGTTTCTTTGAGGAGATGTTTAAGGAAAAACAGAGGGTTAGGCCAAAGCTGGATGGGGTGTGTTTCAAACAGTTCTCACAAGAAGATAATGATTTCATAACTGGACCCTTAAGTGAAAGTGAGATCAAGGGAGCAGTGTGGGAGTGTGATAGCTCGAAAGCACCAGGCCCTGATGGGTTTAACTTCAGGTTTATCAAGTGCGAATGAGAGATAATTAAAGATGATGTGATTAGATTCCTACAGGAATTCCACAAGAACAGCAAGATGGTGAAAGGACTCAACACATCCTTCATTGTACTGGTTCCCAAATCGAACAATCCGCAGAAGATAGAGGAGTATCAACCCATCTCTTTAATTGGAGTCATGTATAAAATCCTAGCCAAGTTGCTAGCCAACCGCTTAAAGAAGGTGCTGCACTAGGTAGTGGGAGAACAACAGACGACATTTTTAAGTGGAAGACAGTTGATGGACGGAGTTTTGATTGCTAATGAGGTGATCGACAAAGCAAAAAAGAAGAAGAGGAAAACAATTATGTTTAAGATCGACTTTGAAAAGGCCTACGTAAGGTTAGTTGGGAATTCCTGGAATATATGATGCAGAGGATGGGATTTTGTGACAAGTGGACGAAGTGGATCGGAGAGTGTTTAAGAACAAGCCTTGTATCAGTTCTGGTCAATGGTAGCCCAACAAGGCAATTTAGTGTTTCAAAAGGTCTTAGACAAGGAGATCCCCTATCACCCTTCTTATTCCTAATCATTGCGGAAGGTTTAAATGGGCTGGTATCAAATGCAACTCAAAAAGGATTGTTGGAGGGAGTCGAAGTGGGAAGCAGAGGTCTGAAATTGTCACATCTTCAATTTGCAGACGACACAATCCTATTTGGAGAAGCTACTGAGAAAAATGTCCTAGCAATGAAAGGAATTCTGAGAGCATTTGAAATCGTCTCTGGACTTAAGGTCAGTTTTAACAAAAGCCAACTGATGGGAATCTGTGTACAAGAGGAATGGTTGGATAGAATGGCATGGCTGCTGTGCTGCAAAAAAGGAAGTATGCCGTTTAAGTATCTAGGAATCCCTATCGGGGGGAATTCGAGGAGAATAGCCTTCTGGAAACCATTGCTGGAAACCTTCAACAAGAAGTTTCACACTTGGAAGGGTCGGTTTCTTTCTCTTGGTGGTCGAATAACTCTTATTAACTCAATACTGTCCAGCCTCCCTATGTTTTGGATGTCACTGTACTTAGTCCTGAGAGGTATGATTCTTTTAATTGATAAAATTCGTAGAAGATTTTTGTGGGGGGGGGGCTCTGAGGGAGGGAAGAGGGTTAATTGGGGGCAAGTCTGTAAAGGAAAAGAGAGTGGTGGATTGGGGGTTGAGGACTTGAGGAAGTTTAATGTGGCGTTATTATGAAAATGGTGGGGGAGACTAATGTCGGAAGGAAAAGGATTATGGAAAACTGTCATTTGTGAGAAGTATGGAAGGGTAGGGGAATCGACCTATAACATGCT